TATTAATTAATACCGTAAGTTTACCAAACAAGAGTACAGTCCTTTTCTAGTGCTCAGTCACTTTTTGTAGTTTTCTGGTGTTTTTAAAATTCTGCAGTACAAACTTTTTCCTGGCTAACATACAAAATAAAAGTTCTCAGTTCAGAACGGATGGCAGCATAGGATGTAGAAACACATGGACCCTCAGAAATGTTACACTGACATCAGAATTGTAGCTGTGAAATGTAAAGTTTGAAAAACAGCAGTATTTTAGCCTGAATAACTTTTCTCCCCGGTCCACAAAAGCAGAATATGCATCAGTTCAAAAAGTTATAAAGTTGCTCCAAAACACGGGATATGGATAGAAGACTACTGACTTTAAAAATTTTAAAACCAAAAAGGAAAAAAAAAGGTATCATGCATTATCAGCTGAGGTTTTCCCTTGATTTCGGTGAAGAAAGGGGACAGGATACGGTTGAGCTATTGCATTTCTCTCTGTACAGTCACACACAAAACCTCAGTACAGAATTTGTGCACAATACCAACAAGAAGCGACCAGTTTCTCCCGAGTGGGACGCAGCAAGTTCGTTCTTCTGGGTTGGATCTTCATCACCTCAAAACCCCATCGTGACAGCTTATCAAATTGAACACTCAATTCAAATATACAACCGTACATTTTTTGTAAGACATGCATGTAGAATAGCAAAACCGCTCCCTTTCTCTGCAAAACACCCATAGACATGACTTTTGACCCTCCAGGCTGCTAGCAGACCCAGACTGAAATACAAATAAAACAGTTAACCTTAACAGAATCTATTGGTGACCCAAGATTTCATCTGGGGTGTCCAATGTAAAAGTCAGAGGGGAAACGTCACCAGGAGGCTACTTCTGCTTACACCATCTCAACAAACAATTCAGGCTTTAGAAACACTTCCATGACAGAGTTACATTAGCCTGAGGAAAAACACTAACATCGAGCAAAAAAAAAAAAAAAAAGGAAAAAAAAGATCAGTTTCTGAGCAGAGGTTGGTCACAAGCTGCCACCGACTCCTTAAAATCTTTGGAAAAACACACATGTGCACGTCGCTTCAACGGGGGATGGTTTGGGAAATCTCTGTTTTACTCAACTTTAAATACAATGCAGCACTTCTAATGGAACAATAAAGCAAAAGTTAATAGTAGTAACTTCACAGTTCCCCACAGGCCAGAAGCAGCTCATCCTGGTATTGTTAGTTATTATTATACTTAGTTCTTTATAAGCTTCTGAAGTTACAGGTCCCCTCCTCCCCCCAAACACAACTCAAAACTCGTAGAGTAGGAATATACTCCAAATATACTCAGGTAAGTCAGGATGCACTTTGTGAGGAAATCTGAAGGCTCTGAGCTGGGGCCTTAAACACAACAGCTATATGGCAAGACACCAACTTCAGCGCTTGGAGAATGATCCTTCAATGTTTGAAGCCGATTAAAATTCTTACTGCATAGGGGGATGCTTGAAATTACAGCAACGTGTAAAATGCATACAGCCTTAACAAGAAACGTATGTGTCACACTTTGCAAATTCTTCTTTATCGCTACTGCTAAATCTGTGGTTGGAGAGATATGAGACGTTAGTTTAGAAATTCAGACTAGATATCATCAGTTAAAAGGCGTACTTGACAAACAGGAAACACTACATAAATAACTGAATTCTTGGGTCTGCTACAAGTGGTATGATTCACTAAGAGAGCTGCTTTGAAGTGTCCAATCCAGAGTAATTCGTCAAGTAATAACTCGTTAACAAGAACATATTAACATCCAAACACACACCACTAAGGCTAGGCTCCTTTGGGCACTGATGGAGCCACAGATCATTGCTCTACTTCTCTTCTAACCAACAGACATGCAAGTCTCCCTCTTAAGAGGCTCAACAATCCAGCAGGGTCTGAAAGCTCTATTTTGCCATTATTTTCCACAGCCTCTTCGACCCACCAGCCCTATGCAGTGGCTTAGGGATCTTACCAGCTTTAAGCCAGAATCTTCCCGCAACTCGCTGCCAGTTATTTTGTTCCTTGTTCAGAAACATTAATTCATGCTTGCAATAAGTGTTCCTCATTTCTCAGTTTGGGTTTTTTTTGTGCAATCTGCCTACATCAAACAAATGTAATCTTTGTCTTTTTACAAGTCTCAAGGAAACCAGTTTGAACCTCTAAGGCCTGTTATTTTGAGGGAATCTGAGCACAGTTTTGGAACTCTACAATTTTGCACATGTGAGGTCTCGGTAGTTATTAACATTTTTTTCACTAGTAACAACCACCTCTGCAGTCGTATTTCCTAGCTTAAGGCCTACAACTGCACTAAAGAGAAGTCCAGAAGCAGTGGGTGTAGCATAAAGCCTTGTTTTCAAAGGAAGTTTTCTAAGGCCTCTTTATCCAGTTCTGGCCTGTTTAAATGGACTTTCTGAAACCGTAAGAATTGGTAAGACACAGCAGAGGAATTTGAGCCTTAGTAACAGGCTGACCAAAATTGTGTGTTGGAATGAAAGGAACCATCTCACTAGGAACAACACCACTCAGCTCTGCTCAGCTGACACAAATGTATAAAGTCACACCATGTATGTTTAATACACTAGCAAAATATTTATTTTATAATGATAAAACAGAAGTGAAGGATTTCTTTTTGGTGTGCACCAGTAATTGTAGTAAAAGAATAAGGGGATTAATGGACTCTTTATACATTTCAATGACAAAAATTCATAAAGGTTAGCATCAAATTCAACTGTTCTCCATTTACAAGCATAAAACTTACCATAATACCCCCAAACACATATATAAAGAATTATAGTTTTAAAATCTATAAAAAGTAAAAAATATACAGTCAGAAGATCTAACTCTTATTCAAATCTTTAATATAAAATTGTAAACATTTATTTACACAAAGGAAATGTGTATAACAAAATTTTGAGCACCCTTTTCAATTGAATCGTGGTTTTTGGAAGGCAGTGGATGTTGCACAGTGACACACTCACCTTTCCTACCCAACCAAAACCGCAGTTTATAAATAAAGCCATGGGCGGCTGGCTAGGTACAGTTCAGGGGAGATACATTTTATTGCTCTGAAGCTGCAGCAAATGGAAAGCCCAAGTGCATATATAGACAGCTACATGGAAAGGGCATAAAGGCAAAGCCCAGCCCTACCCATGCACCTATGTACATCTCAACCTTATTTTCATTTCCAATGAACTGTTTCGACTTTGTTACAGTGACACCGTTTTTCCAACAGTCTGATCGCATTATGTGGACAGGGACCAAAGCCAGAAGCGAGGGCTGTTTTTTCTATCAGGTTAAATGCTGTTTGGATCCTGTTCACATACGAAGACCAATGGGCATTATAAGCCAGTTTGCCTAAAATCACACTTAATTTTAGTTCAACAGTACCATGAAAAGGCCCTGTCATCAAATCCAGCTACCTTCCTGAACAAACCCTCTGGTCAAGCAGGGCAATATCCACCTTAGCTTCCAGAAACAGTGGAGGAAAGAGTACATCTGCGTTTTCCTGGACATTTAGCTGGATTGCCTTTTTGGTAGTAATAATGCAAACAGCAGATGTTCTTTTCCTCCAATTAAGAAATCACAACTGGATGGATTGTATTTTGACTTATTCAGAACAAAGCCTGTGTGCAAAATCTACTGGAAAACATAGCAGATTTCACCACAACCTAAACAGGGAAGAAAGAAAAGCTGAATCCTACTACCCTGTTATTTCTCTCAAGTGTTTGTAAGGGGGAGAAAAAACTAGTGACACTGAATGATGTCACTTGAAATTATGAGGTCCCAAGCACCCCCAACAGGAAGGGAAGGCACACTGGTGCAAAGTTAACCCTTAAAAATAAAAATACAGCAAACACTCCTTCCCCTGCCACTGCTAGTTTATATCTATACTCTTCTAATGACACTTACCTTGGACCAGTTTTTGGTTTAACTTAATAGTAAACCAAACTCACTAGCTCTTTTCTTAGATTGCCAGTATAAGAAAAGTTAGCATCAGTTATTTGCATCTCAACTACTTATTCTAGAAAATATCAGAAGTGTCAACAACCAAAGTCACTAACACCTTCGTCTTCCCATCCAAAGACAATCTTTAGGTAATCTTTTCAAAAGCAATACGAGGGATTAAGTCTGCTTCAGTGAAGTTTCATCCACTATTGAACGGTGGGATCCACTGATCAATGCACATCTTTCACCAACAGTTCAACATGATAGAATATCAAATCTGTTCGACAGAGCGTAATTCATCCACACTAGGTAAGTGTGCTGGACAAACCATGTTCCATGCATATTTGGAAAGGGTTAAAGTATTAGTGTTAAAAAGCAGTTTTTAAAAGTGCAAATTGTCTCATAAAGGAGCTGCAGATACAGTAAAATATTTTCCTTCTTCTAAATCAATGATATCCTTCACTTCCCTTCACCCACTCTGGAAAAAACCCTCTCTCACGCATCTCTGCAGTGCAGAAAACTCCTGAAGAAGCCAGTCTGTGTTGAAGGAAATTGCTTTTAAATCACAATGCTGGGTTTGGTTAGGACGTTCAAAGGAGTTTTCCAAAAAAAGTGGATTTAAAAGGGAAGAGGTATTTGTGCATTTAAAACAAAAGCTTTCAACTTTATTTTCATTTTAAAATAAAGGTTAAGGCAAGGTGGTTTGTTGGTGGATAGGGGATTTTTTTGGTAGAAAGTAAGGACTTCGGAACACTGACTGTTCCCATTGTGTTTTTTGTCCTTTCTGGGACTGACCCCAACAGAAGAGGTCTCCTTGGGCTGAGCTGAAGAACCAGCATTTGCTTCAAGGGATATTAAAGAAGTAAATCCACCAGTCTATAGAAAGATTATCAAACTCATAACCCAGTATTAAAAAAAAAAAGTTTTAAAGGGGGAGACTTCCATATTGGAGCAACCCTGACACAAGTATTCTCCCAGGCTGCCTGTGCTATTATTGCTGACAAGGACTTTTCACCTCTCAGCCAAATTCTTTTTTCCTCATTTTTATCCCGAAGTGACAAAGTCTTGTGCTCATTGAGTCACTGCTAACTTTGGGGAATGAACTGATCTCAGAAGTTAGTTTTACTTTTTACAACAAAGAAAACTAGATGAGCTGTCATGAAGCAAAGCCTTCATTTAAATACAACTACCTTTGGAAATAAGTTATGAAGAAACAGGTGCAAAGTAAATGGCTTTACAATTCATGTTAGACCTACTATAGTTTTTAAGTTCTCCCATAAGAAATTCCCCCTTTAAACACAGCAAGGTATAAGCCAAGAACTGTGCCTCTCTACAACAGAGTGCAAACTGCAGCTTAAAAGACTACAATCTATTAAGATGACTACCTAGACTAACTGGCCAGGTTTTAATACTTTCTTTCATCTATCACCAGCATCTAGAAATATTTACTGTGAAATATCACTTGCTTATTGAGAGTACAGGCACATGCTTCAGCGATGGGGAAAAGAATTCAAAACATTTTGCAAGCATACTCAGGTGCATACAGCCTCTTCTCAAATAAAAAGTCAGAAGTCTGATGGACAGTACTATAATAGCATGTCAAGCTATGAACAAATAATGATTGCAAGTAATAGCTGCAGGAGACTAAGCCCTAAACACAATTTGTGCAACTATTTGCTTTCTTTCTGCACTATTTCTGTGGAATTTCGTTTTATTTTTAAATAATTAAAAAATTTAATTTTAGAACACTGCAAGTGAGATTTCTGAAAGGCTGGCTAGGACGCACACAATTTTTTTTGACCTGTTCAAGTGTGCGACTCCTTAGAGACACCAAGATAAAGCGCACTGTTCCTGCAGACCTGCTTGGTGCGCCATTACCATGTATCAACACTCATTGAGAAGCAGCTCCAGTCCCTTTCCCAACCATTTACCTCTAATGCCTGCAAGTCTCCTCAATGCCACAGGTTTTTTGGTCCAAGTGTTGTTAATATTTCATGAAATAATTAAAAAAGTAGAACCCCCACCCCCGGCCCCATTTTAATGAGTTCCTAACAACTCATCCAAATCATTCATCCACTCCTCTGAAGTCCTGTTTTTCAGCAAAGAGTCTATCAGATCTGTGTCACCAGTTAAGTTCTGAAGTCCATTATTGCCCGACTGGCCGCTGTAGGCAAAAGGCAGCTCTTGACTGGTTGTCCTCACAGGGTACCCTTGACTACAGTGCAGATTACCTCTGTTGGGCATTTGCTGATTTGGATTCTGGTTGAAAGCATTCAGATCTGGAACTGTCTGGTTCATGCCCGGCAAGACTTGCTGTGAGGGTACCTGCTGTTGTGTAGGTGGGTTTGTCCGCTGCTGCGCGCCTAAAGATGATGACAACATCTGCCCAGAGACGGCAGCATTCATAGAGGTCATCGGTCTGCTGGTGCTTAGGCTTACCTGAGGCATTCCTTGGGCAAACTGTTGGTTGGCCATCTTTAGATGAGTTTGCTGCATGTGGAAAGAGGAGCTGGCAGTAAATGGTCCTAAGCCACTGTTTGCTTGTGTCTGGTTGTTAATATTAGGGATACCTTGGTGCTGCCAAGATGGATTTTGAGCCCCCATAGCAGCTGGTACTCTTGCCATCTGTGGCTTAGATAAGGTTGGATTCAGTGCACCTTTATTGTGCTGCTGAGAAATACTTGAGTTTGCTAAGGTATTCTGCCCATACCCAGCAGGAACGGCAGCACCCTGGCCCAAGCTGCCTTGTCTCTGCATCGGTGGCTGTCCATTGGCACTTTGTGTTGCATGCTGGGGAACCATCTGTGTCATACCAGACGCCAAGTTGTATAATCCCCCTCGCTGGATGTTTTGCATATTGGTATACTGAGTCACCCCCCGATCCTGCTGACTGGAGCCCGACTGGAGTGGAGGAACAGAACTGTGTCCAGGTCCCATCTGAATCATGTTCTGGGTCTGAGGAAACATCCGTGGACTACTGGAGCTGGACTGTCCTAAATTACTGACCCCAGGCATGGCTGAAGATGACCCTGAAATACACAGAAATATTTTGTACGTTAAATACCTTGGTTCAACCAGAGCCAAGCTAGGCTTGTAGACACCATAATCCAGAACGGAGGTGCAGCTGCATTTGTATAAACCAACCTATGCAACCAACACACAGACAGCAGTACTTTAATTAAAAGTGTGTCAATTGTTGCTCCAGTTAGCACCCCCACCTTGATCTCAAACACAGATATGCCAATGTCCTAAAAAAATCTGAATACCACTTCTAAGAGTTCAGCATCATCAATTTAAAAAAAATTAGACTTCAAAGGCAAGACTCATACATATTTGTGAACAAAGGTATACACACATACTTTGAAGTGCATGCACAATTTGCTAGGCTGTTAAAAAATACCACTTACTGCATACACACATTGTCAGTTATTCTGTGCATACACTGTATATCTCTTATTGTACAACTGTAGGGTTTCCAGTCCTGCGTTTTCCCAGTTCCAGAATTTTTTTTCTATAACTTTCAGAAATTTTTGGTCAAGTATCTTTTGCATTTCCACAATGAAATATTCGCTATGTTAAGATGCAATGCTGATAACCAAGCAAGATGATTTGCAAAAATAAGTCTCTTCTCAGCAAACCAAAAAAAGTCCTTTGTTCTTGTAAATTCTGAGTAAGAGTTTCTTCCTGTAGAAGAAACAGCCCCCTACTTAAAGCAAAAAAAAAAAAAAAGAATAGAAAAGCACTGTGAAGTGTAATGCATATAATCCCCCCCACTTCTTACAGTCGGCCAAGGAAAACCTACCTACACTAGTACTTTCTCTACCTTCAAACCAAAAAGTAAGGTGCAGAATTTTTTCATAGTTTAAGATAGCTGAGGAATATTTACTCTCCATTATTATTAATTCAAATTTTATTCAAATATAATTTTATTCAAATGCATTCAAATATAATTCAAATTATATTTAATTAATTATCAACAAAGGACACCATAAAAACACCAGTGTTGCGGGGGGGTGGATGGGTGGGGGAAGAGTCTTACTGGAACACTACAGTGAAGAGGTAGTACACATACCGGGATTTAAGATGCAAAAAACAGTTACAATCAACACAAATAATTTTAATAGTGCTGATGTTCATTATAGCAAAACATAGTCTATTTCTAACAGGTGTACTACTGTATTTCTGTAGAGAAGTGGCAGGAGGAAAAAAGCTTCAGTGCAGTATTTGAAGGATGCTTCTGATCACTGTGTTAACACACAATCCTTTTGTATTGGTATCAAGTTTTTTCAGCTAAGTAACAAAACCCAGTCACAGCGCTACTAGACATGGCACAGTCACGAACACTGTCAGAATTAGGGTATCACATTTCTATTTGCATCTTTTCCCTTCAGTATTTATTTCTGTGGGAACATAACGAGTAAGGAAACAAAACAAGGGAATAAGCACTTTTTCTGTACTCTAGGTTTATGAAAAAAGACAAGTGGCTTCTTGATGCCCTGTTAAGTAAGGATTTTTCAGGCAAGGAGATGAGTTTTTACTGTTCTCTAGTTGTTCCACATTCATGAAGCTATTCCAGCTTAACGGTAACAACATCTTTTATTTATCACTGAAGACATACCAAGCTGCTGCTTCTACAAAAAATAAAACATGTAGGACCCTAACATGTAATGAAGAAAATTGAAATTGCATTCCCTTCTAAAGGTAGCAGGGATAAGAATATTAAATTTTAAACTCATCCTAGCAGATGAGAGAAATAATACATCACTTATTTTTCTTTAATGAGGGCCTGTGATAGATTCAAGCAGTAGTGATGTTAGGCTTCAGAAAAAAAACATGAATCCCAATATATGAAAGTTAAGAAGACTTCACAAACTGTAAAAGGAAATGGTAGTATAAAAAGGCCTTTAGAACAATGAAGGTACTTAAGAATTTTACCCATTTCCAAAGCAATATTAAGAATCAGAAGCTTAAGTTGTCCCAGATATCTGGGACAGGGGAAGCTGTTAATTTGCAACTGAATCAGAGTACAGGTCTAAAAGTATTAAGGCACAGTGACGTGGAAAGATGTTGTAATAAATTAATTAAAAGCTATCCAATCCAGGAAATTTGAAGACACCTTGTTTTTTACTCCTGGTATTTTTTCTGCCATTATTTCAATTGCCATGTTTACTTACCTGTGAACTGTCCAACCTGTTGCTGGTACAGATTCTGCGGTTGATCCTGATATTGGGGAGGTGGTCGAGTCAGATGACGCTGCAGCTGTTGCTCTTGCTGCTGCCGCTGTTTCTCCTAGGAAAGGTCCAATGCAAGACAATCAGAAAACAAGTCAAGCTTTTTCCAAGGGTGACTATCTTGGATAAAAACAAGCTATCTGCATACTTTTATGCAGAGCTGGTAATTAAAGGGGCTTCTGCAGCCTTAAAGTCACTTTAGACCTTTGTTCTCAAGGTTCAAACAGTCAGTTTAATCTGATGAGTGACAAGACTAGGAACTCAGACAACAGGACAACAGCACACATTACAAGAGTTATTGCAATGCACGTCTCAAGCCTTTAAAACACTGAAAATCTGAGATGTTAGTCTTTTAATCAATAACATGATCAACAGGCATTTTTAGCAATACGCTAAAAACACTAACAGGTACAAAAAGAGCAAAAGTGAGTATGCACAAAAAAATTCACACATATTTTTTTGCTCTTTACCCTCAGATCAATTTATTTTAGACCTCTCTCTGGAAATTAAAGTACAAGTCATAGATATCGACAATGTTACACGGAAAAGTAAAAACTGAACGTGTAAATATTTTCTAGCCCTTGTTTTCAAAAATGAAAAAGCTATACACAAACCCTTATATACCACAGGTTTTCCTCGAAGATTATGGAAAACTGCAGAACTAAATTTATAACAGAAGCTATACAAGTTTTATTACAAATGTTCAAAACCATTTTCTTAACAATCAATTGAAACAAACCCTACTAATGATTCAAAATAACCTTCCTTCTTTAAAAGCACATTCAATCCATACCTACTTTATGATAAAAACATTTGAAAAATAAAATAAGCAAATTTTCTATTAGGAAATTTTTGGAAAAAAGGAAGTTTAAAACCTTGAGGGGAAATGTCGAGAGTGTATGTACATGCACTAGCAGTACCCTCAGAGATCCTGACAGCATAAACAGCCAACAGGCTGCTTTTACAATACGAAACGTATCAGGCATAGCATTTCTGGCTCTTCTTCCATAGATATCTTCAACCGGACTGAAATTCTGAGATAACCAAGTAGTGATGTAATGCACAACTACCTACTTATCTAAAGTTGCACAAGGCACAGAAGGGGACAAAAATTCTCTTCCAAGAGTACTGGGGTAAAGACACAAGCAATAAGCCTTTAAAGAAGAGACTAGTGCAATGTAACAAATAGGCAGATGCACATTACTAGCATCCTTTTGAAACGTCTACAACTAAGAAGCTGTTGAGACATGCAGAGGAATGAAGAGGGCAGGCTGCTTGACAGAAAGGACCTGCTACTTGCAGGACTAGTCAAACCTGAAAGAGGCTGACCACAGAAGCCAGAGAGATGCCATAGTTCTGAGAGAAACCAAGAGCTGCAGAACCTGGCTGGGGGGGGGGGGGGCCCCAAAAAACACAAGAAAAAAAAAAGGAGGGGGGGGGGGGGGGGGGGCACCAAAAAAACCCAAGCAAAGAACAAGATGCAGAACACCAAATGCAAAGAAACAAAAGCTTCAGAGTGGCAGGGAGTGGCACTGAAGCTACCTGAAACTATAATTGTCCTGCAAAATAGAGATCAACTGATTCGGAAATCTTTCTGTAAAACTACATCCAGTATCATGTGTATCTAAAGAAATAAGTATCAAATTAGAATGCTAACAAGATCTAGCTTGACTGGGCAGCACAAGGCCAAGAAATGTGGCAAATGCAATATCCAAGCCTGTTCAGCTCCAAAGCAAAGCTGCTCCTTATTTGGGATCAGAGTCCCAGTATCACTATACAGAGATGCAAGATGTACAAGTTAGTTGTAGTTACCATAACTAGGACAGGAATAAAATATTTTCATAATACGGGTATTTACTACAGCAACATACGCTGGCTAAGCAGCAGTATATAGGGAGGAAAAAAAAAATATTTCAATACTGTTTGAGATATGTTACTTACCACCCTGTTAATATACCACCCCACTGTTCAGCAAGGTCTGACGTGTTAGGTCCATTACTTAGCTAAGGGAACCTACTGAGCCACAGCTCTATGAGCTCTAATAATCATTCACCAGCGGTGCAAAAGTACAAGCAGGATGCCAACACCCCGTATTTCCTTTCTCCCCACCTTCCTTCAAAGAGTACCTGTTTGTTAACATTTTGGGAGAGTAATGATTAGTAATTTTTGCTAATACATATTAATGTATGTTCATACAATTTTCTTTAAGACATTGCCAGGCACATGCTTATATGTTTATCTACACTGGGTCAAGAACTGAAGGGGCTTTTCTGTCACCTCAGTCTAATCCATATTTCCTTTCTCCCCACCTTCTTTCAAAGAGTACCTGTTTGTTAACATTTTGGGAGAGTAATGATTAGTAATTTTTGCTAATACATATTAATGTATGTTCATACAATTTTCTTTAAGACATTGCCAGGCACATGCTTATATGTTTATCTACACTGGGTCAAGAACTGAAGGGGCTTTTCTGTCACCTCAGTCTAATCCTCAATTTTAACACAAGTCTCTAAGCGATCAAAAAAGCCATTAGCTAGGACTTGGCACAGCCATGGCTTCGCAATACTGCAGATTCTACCACCCTCTTCCCCTCAAAATATGCTCCCCAACCAAGATTTCACATTTTCTGTTCAGAGGAGACTGTATAATTTCCTTCTTAAATAAAGCTTCTGATGGACAGTTGCTGCAATAAAAGCTAAGGTATCCACACACCCCCATTGCCTGACCTTCTCTCACCATCTCTATTGTCCAAACTATTATTACAGTGAAAAACCTTTCTACCAGGATAACATCTCCCAACTTTAAAGTTGAGAACATTGAGATTTATCACCTTTTATCAGTGCTGAAAATTAAGGAAATTACACATTCCCAACTGTTATCAGTTGAAGGACTCCAGATAAAAATAAATAAAAATTTAAATTAATTCTCAGGGATAAATGCAGTTCACCTTTTTTTATTTCATTAAACCACTGGCTCTTTTTTTTTTCCCCTCCCATTATCCTCAAAGACAATGCTTTCCATGGCTCTTCCCTCCCCCTCCCCCCCATTATCTTCAAAGACAAAACTTCTCAGCAGTACAGATCATTACACTTTTTCCAGAAGATCTGAATACCAGGTTCTCCCTGGGTCTCACAAACCTTCTTTGAAAATTCATCTTCCCCTTCCTCCATACCAGATACTGGTAATTTGTACGTGCAGTGCCAGTGCCTGGAACACGCCTGCATGGACTTTTAAAAATGCAGAAAAGCACCGATGACAGGAATAAGGCCCTTTGGGCTAATTCCCGGCTGAAAGACTTGCAAAAGTTTTAAAGCTTAGAAAGATTCACACAAGGAGGCCATTTCCCTGAGAGAGGCTAAAGCAGCTTTCTGCAGTCTGATGGACAGCAGAGTTAAATTATTTTGGCAGGAGAAGATGCAAGTTGGATGCAGACATCTAATTATTTTCCCCAAATAAACACGTGAAAGATGTTTTAAAATTTGAAACACAAACTGCTGTGCATCTCACATGGAAGAAAGGCAGAAGGCACAATGAGCTTACAGAGTCCCTTGCTCATTGCTTCAATTTTTAAAGCTTTATGGAATACATCAACAGTATCCCAATCTTATATTGTATTTTTGCTCTGATTTCATTTGCCTTTCTTCTTTCACAAAGAATTACACCGTCGCTGGTATGATACCTTCTCTCCACATAGGTACTGTCTTGCATTTTCACACTACTCAATTCTACCTGTTTTATTATTTTCATTCACCGCAGTGCCTTGTAACAACAGAAAAAAATAAGCCTCGGCAATCAAGTGCTATATGTTTGGGTTACTTTTATAGAAATATAAACCAGCAATTATACTTACAATACCAAAGCGCCTTGCAGTTTACATTCCTTATTTTGTAATGCGGTAACTATTTGACAAGATCTCAAATGCTGTTTCAGTCCAAAGCAAATCAGTGCAAAGAAGAAAAGACTGCTGGCCCCTCTCACCTGCTCAGCCAGAAGATGTTGCTGTCTCTGCTCCATTAGGAATTGCTGCTTCTGTTGCTCCATGAGCAAGTGCTTTTGTTGCTGCTCCCTCTGCTTCTGCTGGTCCATCAGCATTTGGTGTTGCTTCATCACTGCCGCTTGCTGCTGATTGCTGAGATAAGGTGGGTTGCTGTGGTTACCTGCCATGGAGACATTGGGAGCCTGGGCACCCACGCCAGGGCCCGGGACAGAAACGGGAACACGAGGAACATTAGGAGAAGGGTTTTGATCCTGCAGAATATAGAAAAAGTGACATGAGTTACAGAAAGAGGTTAGCCCTCCAGAATTTAGAAACTGTATGTAGTTACACAGGTGAGGAAAGGCACTTTCATGGTGATGACCACAATTCGTATTATTTTTATCATTTTACAGGATAAGGGAGAGAGACTTTATAAACAAAGCCTACACAGGGAAAGGAATCATAACACATCTCAGAAAAACAGAAATTGTCAATTATTGCTTATTTCTACATTTACACTATTTAATAAAAATTAGACCAGTTCCTCATATTTTGCCATCTTTATGCAATAGCTTCTTCACTTGTGATCCTTCTAACAGAAAAGGCAAAGTGTGATACAGTTTCCAGTTCAGGTAATTAAAGACAGCCAAAAACCCATTTATAAAGTGCCAGACACAGAAGTGACAGTTCAGACTTAAGGTCAGAAGCTCCACAACATTCAGGAATAGAGGCTTTAACTTCAGTCTCAAAGTACTTCCCAAAGTCCAGCTCAAACAGGTTAGTATAGCTCTGCGTGCTTCTGCTGAGCCAGAGGAATGGCACCAGTTACAAACAGCAATTCAAACACACCAGCTTCAGTTAACTTTGGTAGCAGCTTTTCAAACACTACGTTTTAAGTTTTCATTATACAAAACATTTATTTAAATCCTGCCTCTTCTGTCAACATTTAATTCAGCAAGTGTTTATGCTTCCCCTCTTAAAGTTGCTTTTTTTTTTAGTATCAGAGTATTTACTACCTGCAGGTGAAGGGGAAGAAGGATATCACTGATCAAAATGAGTCTTAACATATTTTTCCAGCAATCCAACCATCACCACATTCCACAGAGAAAAATACTACTACAGATAAGCCTGTTATTAATTTTTCATAAGTCTGCTTTTTTTGGAGATTAGAACTTGGGATAAGCAAAAACAACATGTAACGATTATCATTCAAGATCTGATACTGTCCTCTTTGTACCAGCAAATCCATTTGAAATTTGAAAATTTTTATCATTTTTAAGCACAGTTCAGCCTCACCTCTAATTACGCAAACAAATACTACTTTCAAGTTTAGAATTCAGCTAATGGGTTCAGCTGTTGGTTCTCTCCCTCTGCAGTTTCATAAGAAATCATGAGCCAAATATAGGTAATGCTGTGCTAAGTTGTTCTGTATGCAAGTTTTTGAGAAATTCTCCAGAAGCATTCATCAGTATTTCTGTTAATTAAGTGCAAGTGTGGCAGTGTACATGCAAGGTCATCCTCACGTTTTTCAGTAAGGGGGAGATGTGACATACACAATCATCTCTACCCTTCCCCTTCTTCTTCCATCAAAATATCGTTACATTGTTACTTCTGCTAGCTTTTAAAGAGATTAATTTTTTTTTTGTGCCTTATGAAGCACACATTGATCTCAGATTTTTATTTGTATATCAGTGTGGTCTTTGTCACAGACTAATCAGATCTTTTTCACGGGTTTTTTGTTTTGTTGAGGGAACATATTACTAGAATTGGATCTCCAACAGCTTTTGCTAGAGGAGCTTTAATCCTTGTAACAAAGACCTTTTTTCTCAACAAGACCTCTAGTATGTGCATTGCAGGCACATGTTACAGAATCCCAATGAGCCCATACCTCCATCCACTACATAAATGTTCACCTGCAGCATACCTCTAGTATCAGTTATATATAAGGCAAAGAAGCACCATCTGGAATTTTCCTTTATAGGAAAACCCAAAGCATATTGCTTCAAGCAGACAAATATTACTATTACTTATTCTTAAAGATATATTTCTCTCCTATCCCATGCTTCCCCAATCCCAAGACTTAACCAATAACAAATTCTTAGATTTGAAAAGCCCCAAGGAACACCCAAGAAATGAGGAAAGCAGCCCTCACTTCCATCTCTCTTCAAAAAAGAAGCAACCGAAGGCATGTCTTTTTATAGTAAGGCAACTCTGACACAAGTAGGGACTAAAAAGACAGTAAAGAAATCAAAGCTTCTTTGAGAACAGTTTAACGCTACAGTTTTACATGAGTTATTTTAGGCAAAAGTTTACAAAGCATCTATTTATCTTTGTAAGTAGATGCTTTGATGAAGTGTGACATAATTTGTTGCCCACAAAGTATATTAAGCTGGAAATCACACATTACCACATGACCTAGAACCAAGTATTAAAAAATGTCCCCAGTGGAAAACAGAGTTCTTGATTCTTGTCTCAGCTTATGGCATGTTATCATTTTCTTCTTTAAAATCATGCGGCAACTGTTTTGAAACAACACCAAGTAATCTGTACTCTAGCCCTACCTATACAACACCCTCTTGCAAAACTTTAAATCTGCTACTAAACAAAGGTAACAAAACCAAGAACATTCACCTGACTGTGCGGTAGTCGGTAGGCAATGTTTCCAGACTTGGGTTTCAATAGGATCATCCCATTTTGGTCATCGCTCACATGAGACAGCGGTGGCTGCTGGCGCTGTTGTATGTATGCCAACATGGGAGTCTTGTTCTGACCAGGTACTGTAACCCCCTGTTCACATTCTGCTTTGTAATGTGAAAGAGGTTTGGTGTTCCCATAGTCTAGCATAGAGCCTTGACTATTCACAGGGTTCTGGTTCAAGCTGTTTTGCTGATGACCCAAAATGTTCACGTGGTAATTGCCTCCAGCCCTCGGTGAGCTTTTATTTCCCATATTAGGCATCATGAGTTTCTGATTGTTGAAGTCGGGCTGGTAAACTGATGGGCTGGTGGGATTTTCCATGGTATATGGGACAGCCAGTGGACTATGAGAAGGCCCAGACTGTTGCCACGTAGACATCTGATTTGTTTGGTGGACTTGTGAAGCTTGCTGCTGGTTCTGCAACATCTGGTCTCTCTTCTGCTTGGCAGCAATCTGCTGAAGTTGATGGGCAGAAGACATTTCTTTGGCACTTCCTGCACCCTTCCCAGGTAACAACACATTGGGAAGAGGCCTCTGGACATTCTGAGAGTGGTTTGATGCCTGCATCATGGGCTGATTAGGATTTTCAGTCATTGACTGGCTGGAAGGCTGAAACATAGCCTGAGAACTACCAACCGCTGGAGAAGCAGCACTTACAGGTACAGAAGCAGCACCAATAAATGCTGGACCTGATGAAGTGGATCTCACCTGGGGAGATCCCATCTGTTCCTGTTCAAAGGGTGCTGGGGAAAACTCAGTCTTTATGTTAATATCTTGTGGCAATGGAGTCTGTGCAGCTGAATTTGAAGAATCTGCATCTTTTTTCTCTTCAAAGTCTTCATTAAAGAGATCCTTCATGTCTTCATCGGGCACTGATCTATTAAGCTCCTCAATAAGTTCCTTCCATTCTTGCTCATTAAGATTAAGATCAGGCATCAAGTTATTCTGAGATATAGAACCCCCTGCTCCAGCAATCATACACGGAAGATCATCTACAGGCTCCTGCTTCAGCTCTTTGTTCAAACTCAGAGGAAATGAGTCATCAGCATCACCACCTCCATTCATTTGCAGGCTGGAATCTGGAAGACACTTCTTGCTGATGCCATCTAGCCCCATCGGATGTTTTCCATTAAGTTGTAAGGTATCTCCGCTGCCAGATTTCTTGTCAAGATGATGGAGTGGAGACACAGGGGGCATTCCATTGGAAGAACCACTCACTCCACCAAGACCATCGTCACGACGCAGTTTCTTGGACACAAATACATCACCATAGCCATTCTGCTGGTCTCCATTCTGAGGGGAAGCAGCACTATCAAGCTTTCTTTTCACAGTCTCATGAAGCTGCTGAAAAAAAAGGAAGGTTTTAGTTATTTAGTTTTATGTTTCATAGATTAGGATTTTTATTTCTTACCAGAACGTTGTCTAACTCTGAATAAAACATTTTAGGAAAAAAAGGTTAAAAAAAAGGTTACCTCTTTGCTTTGATAAGATTGGTTTTACAAGTCATCACGAGATGACTTCCTTACTATAATCTCTTAGGGTAAACTTTCAAAAATACGTACTATATCAAACAGAGCCCCCTCCTTCAACGAAAACCAAAAGCTGCCATATACTTTAACGACAACAAAAAGTTGAGAAATGGCTGTGAACTGGAATATATTACGATTTTTCCTATTCAAAATGAAAAAATATTGAAAAATGTTAAGATTCAAATTTTAGATGAGAATAAAAACCTGTATTTTATTTGGCCCATGTACACATGGTATAATTGTTCTGTAAGACTGCTTTATAAAGCAGTCTCACATTTAAATATTTAGAGAAAGAGAGAACCATTTCTCTTGAGATTATTATTTTTGGAGAAGAACTATGTATATAAATTTTGTACACAATCACATTTTTGGCACTAAAGCAAAACCAGTTTGTCACTAAGCGACCACTGTTTCACACTTATGTAAAACGCAATTCAGAATTCAGTCAATTCTATCACAGCAGACTAAGTTCATTCCTTTCCTCCTTTCTCCTAGAGTATTTGCCAGCTGCTCCTCTCTGCACTATGACCACCAGAGCCCCAACCAGCTCAACAGTTGGCTTCTCATAGCTAGCGAATGCACGTATTCTTTTTCTTGTAGTGCCACCTAGAAGCAACCAGAGGGTACAGCAACAGTTTTACAACCAGAGTTTGAGAGCCTTTGTTCAACTTCTGTTTCCTGGCAGCATTGTTTCAAATATAAAGTTCTTTCCATTGACCCCAAAAACATCTGAAAACAGAATTCATTCACACAAAGATGACTATACACTTTTCCCTCTCTCAGGTGCATTCTGTAAAAGAAGTTGTGCTTTGCTTGTGCTAGAACTCTGCACCAACACAGACAAACCTGTATAGCAGGGACACTGCTGCAACAGAGCAGTGCGCTTGAAGAGGGAAAGCTCCCATCAGCTCCCCTGACCTGTACGAGATGCCTTTGTACATCTCAGCAGGACACACGAGGAGAATCCCCACAAAAAGCCACCCTTCTGAAGCGTGGTTCACTGAACAACAGTTCTCTCAGATGGAAGAAAAGCAGCTCATTAAACAAACCTCAAGACAAGTATGCTTACTTTAATATTACTTGCAGTCTCCACAATGAAGTCCACTAACCCTTGGGGAAAACTTTATCACCCAAGAACAAACAGGGGAAACCTCAAGATCTCACCACTCAAGCAAGAGGTTGTATGTAGAGCCAGCATAAATTATCAGAAGAAGTTTACAGCACTTGCCTGGGCAACAGCATTCTTTGATTTAAGGACAGAAGGACTGGTTCACAGTTAATTGTTGTATTTTTTTTTTTTTTTAAACAGTCTACAGTTAGCTGATCTTCAGAAAAAAACACTATTTGTTTAATGCTTGCATAGGTAGCAGCAAAATCTTATTTTTATCTGAGGGATAGACTGCAGCTTCCCAGGAGACTATGATCTCCTAGGTGGTTCATGGAAATAGCAGCAGAGTAGTGAGATCAGCAGAAGACCTAGTAGGACAAGGTGGGGTGTACATTTGAAGAATAGGCTGGAACTTGAATTCTCTTAATCTGAACATTAGGTCTACAGCTTGCAATAGCAGATCTGGAGTGAATTTTTCAAATACCAACTTGAAAGAATAATGGAAATTTACTTTGTTGTAAAAAGGCAAAACAACAGAAAGCAAGGAAGCCTCAACTCAATCCCAACATTTGGCTTTCAGCAAGCTTCCCATTGTTTACTTAATACTCCAACAGGGAAAACCGAAGCTTAAGGTGGATGAGTAACTTGCCCAAGGTCATATGATGAGTCAACCACTCAACATTTGGGAATGGATCCTCCTTAATTCTAAATCATTAGGGAAAAAACCACACTCCCTGAAAACTGACATACAAGTAATAACTTAGTTTTGTACACCAAACATTCTTCTCATAGTCGAAGCAAATTTCTATATTAAAACAGAATATATGCCCATTGGGGTCACTGCTGTAATTATAATTCATATAGACAACTCAAGGCAACTAGGATTTTGGTAGCGTTATAGCTATAATTGCACACAGCTCTTCACAGGCTGCAAAACCCACCTGGGTTGCTGGAGAAATATTGCAGAAGTTAATCTGTCCTAGGGTGTTTGCTACTGTACTACACCATTTGCAATATATGAAGCTAACTAGTCTAAGATTAAATCATCCATGCTTATAAGCTGACATAACTTACTGTAGTCTAGAAAAAGATACAGACCCCTAATATCCATCACAGGCTCTTTCCATCAATAAAAACACGTAGGAACTTTCATATCTATATGGGTTTTAACAGTCATAACGCTCAGATATCTGATTCTTGGTGACCTCTTGACTTTAGCTGCTCTAGACAAAGTCCTCCTTTCACCTAAAACTATAATCTTCTTTTTTGACAAAGGAATAAAGAAAAAATAACTTTAATAAATTCACTAATTAAGTAAAATTTGGGTGTGACTGCTTCCAGCCTTGCTTCAGCTCAGCTAAATCTCAGATTATTTGAAAGATATCCTACCTGTACACAACAGCCAATAGACACGTAGGAAAGAAGAAAATCTGCTTATCTTCTATCCGTATCAGAAAAGATTGAGCCCAGTTTGTAACCAGGACACTTAACTTCTGAGTTTTAGAACCTATTCACCAACTGCATTTGCATCCTAGTTCACTTTTAAAAAAGAGTCAGAAGCGCACTTGGATATTGTGGCAGTAAGTCTACACTGAGATTTATGCTACTGTAGTTAGCTACCTACAATACAGCCAGCTAACCAGCTTAAAACTAACCTAGTAACAGTGTTCCATTTTCTACCTCCTTTCCTCTCAAGAAAAGACAGTGCTATAAAAATTTGTTGGAGCCAAAAGTTACAGGTTCCTTCTCCTCTGACATCAGAAATATATCCTGATACTTTCTATTTACTCATGTTTAATTTTGAGTAACAGAACCTGAAATTCTCACACCAAATACTTTCATATAACTACTCTGCCAATAATGCAACTTTCTCTTGTGAAATTCCTTTCTTACATGCATTTCTTACATACTATCTCAGCTCTTGATTTCCTAACAGAAAAAGAAATATTAAATTCAGTTCTTCCCCAATTTTTCTGTGTCTATCCAAATAATCTGGTTTGGGGGGGGAAAAAAAATAAGAAGGAGCATGTGAGATACAAGTCAGACTGCAAGCTATCTACATATCAAGCTGTTCCAACAGAGTTCCCAAGGCAAGAAAAACCTGTTCTCTTCCGCCAAAACTCAAAAAAAAAAAAAGAAGAAACACTGACAAAGTAAAGCACAGCTTGCTACTGACTAAGAAAATCCCTTTAGCTTTAGTTTTATTGTCCACTATCATTCTGTAAGACAAAGTGGCCCTCTGGTATGCTATCCATGGTTTCCTTAGCAGAATCAATGTTATTTGTAACACAAGTCTCAATCCTTTCTATTGTCACATGGTGGGATACAGAAATGTATTCCCATTTTCTCAGCCTACTCAATTTCCCAGCAAAAGATGAACCTCCAAGATCTCTGCTATTTAGCTTTGCCTAAAAGTATTATCCCAAAAGCATTTATCCAAGTATTTAAACCAATATAGGAACAGTGCAAAGAATGGAATGTAAGCAGGCCTCAGTCCTTTGGCCCAAGACAGGACGTACAGTTTCTCAAAGAGCCACTGAAGAGCCATAGGCTGCACCTCCTCCACATCACATCACCAGAGCTGCATTTTATTCACGTAAGCAAAATAGACACTCCTCAACATGGTAATAAATACACTTACTTGGCAGAAGCACACATGCAAGTCAGGCCATAACTGTGGATTCCTCATGTGAGGAACACAAACTGATAAAACCCAGGTGTCATCCATCGTAACAAAAGGGGTGTCCAACACAAGCAGCCTCTGACCATATAATTCACAGTACATACATGCTATACTTGACTAGGACACAGGACCACAATGCCAGAGATGGATGCATGCCCAGTCAAATGACAAGGCTTCCATCAGAAAACAGACAGTGCACAAATAATTTTGATAAGCTATATTCAATCTCCGTCTTAAACCTACCAGTTTTACCACGATGATGCTCAGCCATATTGCGGTCTTACTGCAGGGGCAAGTTGGCAGGCTTCATAAAAGCTGTCCACAAACTACCACAGAAGCCCAACAAGAAGAAATTGGAAGAGCTTTAAAACTTCATCTCCAGCTTTTCTGTTAGCACTGGCAGAGTTCGAAACTTGAGAGTCCACTGCAGTGCTCTCTTACTGCCTTGGTGGGAAAGGGGCATGAATCACTGATCAGAACAGTGGCACAAAGTTGTTTGGTGTTTTTTTTTTTTTTTTTTTTGTTAAAGAGGAAAAGATTATTCCAGGAATCAAAACATCAGCATGAAACACTCAATACCTGAAACTAGTTTTAGATAATAATCTGAAATCAATGACATTTCAATGCGTTAGAACTTAACAAGCATGAAAGTTTAGTTCACATTGTTCACTTGAAAGCGAGAAATCCTTCATAAAGCAGAATTTTTAAGCTGAGGACAGTCAACTAAATTACTTTTGTAAAGTATAACAAACTACTGCATTTTTGAGTCCTGTAACTGAAGACAGTAAATATACATATATATAAAAGAGAAACTGCATGCAAGTTTCATTTTTTCGGAAAAAATACCTAGTGACCATGGCAGAAACAAAACTTCAAAAAAATCTGGTTCTTATACTGAGCTTTTTAGACTCCATAGAATGTTCTCGTTTAGTTTTTTAAAGCATCTGTTACAGAGATTAAAATATTTTTACAGCATTCAACAGAGCTTTAATTTTTTTGTATTTTATTTGGAATAAGT